GACTTTMCCAGCCATGTATGTTCTATGCCTATCTGGAAAAATTCAAGCTATTTCTGTAAAGTGGCTGAGGGAAGGGCAAGGGAAAGGAGAAGGGTATTATCAGATGCCCCTGAGGCCTTGCTGGCAACATTAGCGTACCCTAGTCCTCCCAGGTACATGCTGACCYGGTTCTGTCATTGAGCTCATCCCTTGCCACCTTCCCATCCTCTCTAAAGCACTCTTGTCACTCCAGCATTATCTCCTACCTCAGATCGTCAAGATGCCTCCTTCATGAGATTTGTTGCTCTTCTTCCAATGAGTAGTGTTCCTGCATCAATCAGGTAAGCCAAGGGCTGTCCTCTCCTTCCAAATATATCCTCAGCCCTTAGCCTAATTCTGCTTTTACCAACATCTTAAACAACCAACTGCACCTGCCTATCCAATATCTAAGGCATAGAACAGGCATCCATCCTGTAGGCTCATGATCCTCTCCAATTCCTCCCAGATCCGTTGTCACATACTGCTTTTGRTGGTTAAAATGGCAGTCCTGATGCTTCTCTTGGTCCCCTCAAGTCTGTGGGGAAAGGGGCTCTTGACATATCCCAGAAAAAGTCACACCAAGTGACATCTTGGAATTTGGGACTACAAGTCCAGAGGCAGGAGATCATAAATGCTCCTTATGAAGCACTGTGTGAAACGTCCTCTCAGTGGCCTGTGGACTTCACGATGGACCTAAGGCAGCACCCTGTCCCGCTGGAAAACAAAGATGTTGGACACTTCCTGCAGCTGTAGAGCCAGCCACCCAGCATCATGTCCAGATATGTCACCCGTCCCAGTGTTCCCTGGGAAAAAAATGGGTGGACTGTGTGTGTGAAACTTGAGAGCTATAAGGGAAGCTGCACAATAGAGCATAGGTTACCTGTCCATAAACAACCTACTTACTAAGTAATACAGTGTTGTAAGTTTCAGCACTTTCTGAACCACTCTATTAGGAGGCTGTACTTTCTACTCCACCCCGGGAGCAGCTGTCTGTTATCACACCTGTGTGCATGTGGCCCCATGTGACCCAGGGACTGGACAGGGTCTATGGGATTCCCTCTGAAAGGCATCATCCAGTGCTGTGGCTTGAGGATTAGGTGCTTAGTCTTAAAGGATGATGACAATGGCCTCTCCCTCATTCCCATCAGGCGGCTCCACCCAGGGAGGCAGAAAGACAAGGCAAATCCTCTTGAGGAGACTTTCCATGGGATCAAGCTTCAGGGCCTCCCTCCTTCCCCTCCTCTCGCTGGGAACAATGTGAGCCATGCAGGTGAACCCCTGGGCAAGAACAAGGCCTTCTACATTCCATGGCAATCCGAGGAAACAGACGGCAGGAAGGCTCTCCTGGAAGAGAGCAGGTAGCTTTGGCAGCCTTCTGGGGAGGAGGCCAACTGTCCTCTCAGGTACTCAGCTGCTTGCTTCAGTGTCTCGCACAGAGTTGCCTGAACTATCACCCTTTGTTCTCATCTTATTATGAAGATTGGGCTTTTCCCACGAAGCTGCTCTGGGAAAACAGATCTCCCAGGGAGAGGTCATCCAAGAAGGCAATTCTCTAAACATCCAGGGGTCCTAACTGCCTAGGACCACAGCCCTCCCCTGGTGCTAAAGCAGAAGGCAGAAGGGGGAGGGCTGGACTCTAGAGGAGAAAGAAACCCAGCCCAGCCCAGAACAGCAGRCTGAAAGTGGGCTAAGGAACACTGGTCACCTCCCATACCCAGACAAAGAAAAATAGAAAATCAAGGACAAATGAGCYAAGGACATATTTAGACTTTAAGTGTAGTAGGGCTAGGAGGAAGTGGAATCAGAAATAGATCTGCTGGGCTGAGGGTCCCTCTTCTCCTCTACCATCTTACCAGCCCTATTCATCGCTCCTGAGCCCTCCCAGCTGACCTTACTGTCTCCTGGGGTCACTGGAACTGGTTTCCAGAGCACTCCCTGGCAAGTGGGGACAAGGATTTTATTTTAGAAAATGTCTCATAAATCTACCAGTAGGAGAGACACCTGTGTTAGGAAACCRAACATGACATTTTACATTGTTGGTGCTGTCTAGTACACCGGGCAAGCCTGGGCTTGGGTTAGATGTTAAAGTTAAACCATCTTCTGACAGGCTAAAGGAGTACATGGGAGGTCTCAGCTGCATCTAAATAATCTACTTTGTTTAGGGATGAATGCTCCCCAATCCTCAAAAAGATATGAAATCAGGACTGAAAGAGGGACTGTTGGGGTTACCTGTGCTGGTTGACAGCARCCTGTCCCTGTGTGCACAACCCAGAGAACAGCCTGAGACCCAGTAGAGGATGAGCGGGGTAGTCTGGCTTCAGAGGAGGGATATCAGCCTGCTGGGCTCCTGCCAAAGACTCAGAATCTCCCTGACTTTGTTGTTTCCTTCCAGGTACTTAGACTACCTGCCATATCTGCTGGAGGGTGGGAGTCAGGGTGGGGGTGGGCTCTGCTCCTGCTCGGTTCTGCTGCTGTGAGCACCTGCAAGCTGCAAATCATTCTTCTGATCCTGTCATTCTCCTGCCTGCTATAGTTCTATGTGGCTTTGAGGAACAATGGCAGATCCCTCCCCATGGCTTCCTAGGTCCTTACTAATGTGGTACTATCTTGTACCGTTGGCTCCATTACTGTCCTCAAACCACCACTCCCATTCACACACATATATGCCGTATCTGAATTCTGTCCCCCCCACCCCCAYACTGGGGATTAAACCCAGACATGTGTTATCACCAAATGACATCCCCAGTTCTTTCTATTTTTTTAATCTGAGATGATGTCTCTCTAAGTTGCCCAGTTTGGCCTCCAACTTGCAATCCTCCTTCCTCAGCCTCTGAAGTAGCTGGGATTACAGGTGTGTGCCACTGCACCCTGCTGTGCTCTGATTCTTGAAGCTTCTCTTGGATTCCTACACACTGAACTTCTTCCTACTTTCACGATAATGATGTTAGCTCATCTCCGTGGAGAACTCACATGCCAGACATTGTACTAAACCTTCACACAAATTACCTCAACACCATGAGACGGGTACTCTTTTCACACACACACTCTTTTACAGGTGTAAAAATAAGCAGAAAAAGGGCTCAGTGATTTGCATAAGGAGCCAAGTCTGATCCTAGGATCCAAGTTCTTTACCAGGGGCTAGCAAAGGTTTTCTTTAAAGGAACAAATAGTCAATACTCTAGGTTTTGCAAGTCACAAGCTTTGTTGTAAGCTGCTCAGCTCTGCCACTGTGGTGTAAAGTGGCCATAGGCATCAGACATGGACATAGACACSGGATGGTGGACAAAAGTAGAGTGTTCCCACCCGACCTGACCACATTTCCTACCCAGCCTGGCAACGCCCATGCCGTGCCTAAAGCCCCTAGCCAGGACCAGTAGAGTGCATCAGTGTCCTGGACCATGAGGAACAGCATCTCTTTCCCAGAACTGGGTGGAAGCACATTCTTCAAGAGCCATTGTGCAATCAGGGTGGAGAAGGGCAGCTGCTTCCGTTGTCTTGAGAAGGTATCTCTTTCCTGCCAGACGCTGACTTAGCACCTGCTTTAGACAGGAACTCCCTGCCATCCTGGATGCTGTGCCCCTCAACTTGTGGGAGAGAAGGGACTGAATTTAAAATAGTAACTGGAAATTTCAGGGAGCTCATCTCAGGGTGGGAGTTGGTCTTTCCTCCCACAGTTGCTCAGTTAGACAAATGTTCTCAGAGCACCATACACCTAGGGTTGTTTTCAATTCTCATTCATGGTGCTTAATGCATGGACTGGAAAACATGAAACTCGGTTCCTGTGAACCAAGTGCTACTCTCATTTGAAGGCTTCTCTGCTCTCTGAGAAAGGGTTTAGAGATTTGAGATTTCAAGCACTGAGATTAGAAATATAAATCTAGAATTTACTGATGAAATCATCATACTTGTAAGGACACATTCTAATGATTCATTGCTTCTATATGCCCCTCAACTTTCTGTACACACCCTGCTAAGATGTTCGATTCTGGATTCTTCTGAAATGTCAAAATTAGTGGAAATAAAACCTCCGTGAATTCTTTCATGATTCTTGTCCAAATCGTTTTGGATTTTTTTTAAAACTTAAGCTCTAACTAAACATTCCAAAAAACTGCAGAGAGGAAATGTCTATGAATTTCAGCTAGAAAGACAGCTCAGTGGGCAAGCAAACCCATAGGGCAGGAGGCACAAGCATGGATGGAAGATCCTGGGGCAGGAGGCACAGGCATGGATAGAAGTTCCTAGCAGAGGTTAGGAGAGATCTGCACCTGTCCTCTCAGGAGAGTGCCAAGTGGGCAGCTTATCACACAGGGGGCACAGAGCAAACACGGTTCTAAACAGTGAAAACTTCAACTCCTCCATCCCTCTGGCCTTACAGAGGAAGGTTATGTACCCCATTCCCGTGCTCAGATCACCAGATCATATAGCCAGGAGCTACCGAAGAACTGAATCGAACATGGTGGGCAAACATGGCAGGCCATTTCTTGCTCAGGCCCATGGGAAAATAGCTGGAAACCCTCAGGGAGAGTCCCACCCAGAGGAGAAGGGAGGTGCGGGTGGAGATGGAAACCTGTGTGTAAGGGGGCACACAGGGAGTGTCTGAATAAGCAGAAGGAAGGGACAATTATCACAGATCAGCTTCTTGTTTCCTTTGTTCCTGAACATGACTAAGTCATGACTTCAGTGAATTTGCATCCAGGCTCATTGTGTTAGGAGCAAGTCAAGTCTGGAAGGCAAGAGAATTTCTCCATGACTACAGGAAGCCAAAAGGCAACCTTCATGTTTCATACCTTTCTAGAACTTGGGGGTGATCTCACTGTTTGTAAAGCCCAGCCCTTCCCAATCTGCAAGCTCACCTTCCAGCCCTGAGCCCAGCCCACTCACACCATATATAAGCTCTGCCTGAGCCCATCTCCTTCATCTGCTCCTCTCTGCTCTGCCCTYCAGTCTCTCTCGCCTTGTCAGCCTTCTTGTCTCCAGGCACCATGACCAGCAAGTCCACCACGAGGATCCAGAGCAGCAGCAGCAGCCGCAGAGGCTTCAGTGCCAGCTCAGCCAGAGCCCCAGGGCTCTGCCGCTCTGGCTTCAGCAGCATGTCYGTGTCCCGCTCCAGGGGCAGTGGCGGCATGGGGGCATCATGCAGAGGCGCAGGCTTTGGCAGCAGGAGCCTCTATGGCACAGGGGTCTCCAAGAGGATCTCCATTGGAGGGGGCAGCTGCRCCATGGGTGGCGGATATGGCAGCGGAGTTGGAGGCAGTTTCGGCTTCAACAGTGGATTTGGTTTTGGAGGTGGAGCTGGTAGTGGCTTTGGGCTCGGTGGTGCAGCTGGCCTTGGTGGTGGCTACGGGGGCGCTGGCTTTCCCGTGTGCCCCCCTGGAGGCATCCAAGAGGTCACCRTCAACCAGAATCTCCTGACTCCTCTGAACCTGGAAATYGACCCCACCATCCAGCGGGTGAGGACCGAGGAGCGTGAGCAGATCAAGACCCTCAACAACAAGTTCGCCTCCTTCATCGACAAGGTGAGCCAAGAAACAGTGCCATCAGCAAGRCACCTCAGAATCCCCAGTTATGAACAGGATAGACTTCCTACGGGGTGGAAAAAACTAGGAAAGAGGGAAAAGGACCTCAGACTACCTCTCCACAGGGATGGGGATTGGCCTCATAGAGTCAAGGGCATAGAAGAACTGCTGGGTCTCTTCCATAGCCCTCATTCCTGACAGGGGGACCCCTCAACTGTTGATACCCAGAAGCACAGATGAGGCAATGRGATTTGGGAAGAATCCAGTCCCCCTCCTGACAAGATGATGCCAGTGGTGTTTGGGCTGGGGATTCCACTCTGGGGTCTGTGTAAGAGGGAAAATATTAATCAAGAGAGAGAGAGAGAGAAAAGAAAACAAGAAAAGAAATTTCTGGCTAGATTAGGAAAACAATAGAACCACTTAAACAATATGTAGAAATGCTAATTTATTCAACAAAGAACAACCATAAAATGGATAAATTTGAGGAGACATACACTAAATTAGAACCTAGACAGGAATCTAATCATTAGTGAACATTTATATCATTTATAACTGAGATCCAATACATTATTAAAACCTAGCAGGAAATATCAGAAAATATTATTTTTAAACTGCATTTGTGATTGTGCTTGGAAAGAGGAAAAGAAACGTGGAAAGTCACTGATTGGCTCCATAACTTAGAAGATGAGAACCTCTCAATGGTCCAAGGGGGAATTTCCCTGGTGGATTTCTGTGCTGCAAAAGAAAAACGTTTTGGTGTGGGTACAAAACTGAGCTTCTGTCCATGCTCAGAAGCAGCTCTACAAAATGGAGAACCAAGACCCACAGGGAGAACTGCTAACAGAGACACTTCTTTCTTCCTGCCTTTGCCTCACAAATGATCATCTTGTCCCTCTCCAGGTACGGTTCCTGGAACAACAGAACAAGGTCCTGGACACCAAATGGACCCTGCTCCAAGAACAGGGCACCAAGACAGTGCGACAGAACCTGGAGCCTTTGTTTGAGCAGTACATCAGCAACCTCAGGAGGCAGCTGGACTCCATCCTCGGGGAGAGAGGTCGCTTGGACTCAGAACTCAGGAGCATGCAGGATCTGGTAGAAGACTACAAGAACAAGTAAGTCAAACAAGAATATGGGCTGGTTTTCTCCAAACAATTGGGTGACCAGTTCTAGAGGTGGGCACCATTATGCAGCAACCATAGTCATAGAAATAAAAAATCATTATTGCTAAAAAGTAAATATGTAAGATAAATAGGGCAATAGGAGGTTGAAGGATATTAAAGAAGTGAAATTTTAGTTGTTACTACAAAAATCATCTCTCAGACTCTCTGTGGCAAGAAAGATAGATTTAGATATACCAGGCTGCTTTTCAGCTTCAACCACCACTGGCTTACATGTGTGTCAACCCTCTTCTCCTAGATATGAAGATGAAATCAACAAACGCACAGCAGCAGAGAATGAGTTTGTGACCCTGAAGAAGGTGAGCTGATTAATCAGGGTTCTAGTTTCTCTGMTCAAGGAGAGACATGACTCTRYATCCCCMTCCMAYCTCACAAGACCATTGCCATGGTGATAAAATGGGGGCTGGGCAGGAGGGCTCAGCTGACTCCACACTGTCTGCTCTTTCCCCAGGATGTGGATGCTGCCTATATGAATAAGGTGGAACTGCAAGCCAAGGCTGATAGTCTCACAGATGAGATCAACTTCCTCAGAGTCCTGTATGATGCAGTGAGTATCTCTACCCCCTTTCCTTCACTCAGATGGGTTCTGCAGGGTGGGGAGTCCTATGTCCCCATTGGGCACCTTGGTAAGCAGCCCAGGCCAAGATGACCTTAGGACTTTGTGCTCTGCAGGAACTGTCTCAGATGCAAACCCACATMTCAGACACTTCTGTGGTGCTGTCCATGGACAACAACCGCAACCTGGACCTGGACAGCATCATCGCCGAAGTCAAGGCCCAATATGAGGAGATCGCTCAGAGGAGCCGGGCTGAGGCTGAGTCCTGGTACCAGAGCAAGGTGAGCAGTGACTTGGCAGCCGCTAAG